ATTACCAAATTTTCTCGGATGGGTAGATTACCACATTTCCTTAGCTATGGGGCTCCGTCCACGCGCGCGCTTCGCGCGCGGGTGGAGCTCCGCTACAAGTTGATAGCGAGATAAATGAATCACTAGGAGGAGCGAAGACCAAAAACTAAACTGTAAACTACAGGCCCAAGGACAACAAAGAACTGGCGCGAAAATTACAATAGAAGCTAAATATACTATACGCAAGAAAACCTATTATGAAGAGCAAATATACGCGAACAACGAACGACTTATGGTAAAAGCAAAAGATTTCTGGCACTTACGTAAACCATATAATCATCACAAGACTCATTAGCATACGATGAAAATTTACAGCACCCGACCAGTTAGCCTCACCATCGAAGTTTTGCTCATTTAGATTCTTTTGTTTTTTGACCACTGAAGTATTCACTTGTTCCAAAGTAATCAACGCTTTCAAACGGTAGAATTCGTGAAGCAACCCGTTCCGGAAAAGCTCAACATCTTTCGCAGTAATCACAAAACATGCCATACTCGGAGACCCAGGGGCAGTTAGTCGGGTCGATAAAATGTTCGTGGTGAAAGTTTACTGTAAGATCGAGACGAGCCCCTGGGCACTTACTCTTACCGAACCAGTTCCAGAAACGTTTGAATTGCCTGCTTCTGATTGGCCAGAAAAAAATTTTTCTGGCCAATCAGCGAAGAGAAGCTTCCGGGATACTCTCGTGTTTTCTTACACGACGTAGTTTTCCTCATCGATCGCCATAGTTGCGTAGCGCGTTCAACGGGGAAAGTTTCTCGAGGAAAGTTTGAGAACAAAATGTTAACAACCCGCAAAAATTACAACCTTTAGCACGGCTACAAGAAACAAACACTCTCCGATGAATTTTTAGGGCGGATCTTTCCAAGGTATCGTAAATTTTTCTTGATGATACGATACGCGATGCATGACTTTCACTTTCCACTCAATTAATTTGCTCACACTGTCTAGTATACAACGCCAAGCTTACATTTTAGATGTCCATGTTCGTTGCACGTCTTCTGAAACTTTCTACAGCGTGAAAATTTCCGTTGCACGGGCCACGCAACTACGTCGATTGATCGTGGGAAATGCCGGCTAGTTTCAGTGCCTTCTTCTTGCTTTCGCTCCAAACTCCTTTCGAAACTTTTAAGCTTAAATGCTTACAGCAGTTAACCGTACGAATTCTGCCGAAGTTGATAGTAGTGTTAACTTAAGATTCGAGGGAGACCTCCAGCAAGCGCTTGGAGAAGGCTTGTCTTTGTTTCCTGTGGTACAGTTTAAAGCGAAGCAAGAATTATTATTGAGAAGATTGTGGAAATAAGAGATGTTTTTGGGCAATTGATAGAGGAGTCTAACCTTCCAAATGTTCCCTATAAGCTAGGGGGTTTAAAAATCTTTAGATGCTAAAGGTTGTGAATTCCCTAGTAATCCATTGGTCACAGTGATTTTACCTCTCATGTCAGTTGTTGAGGAACAGGTAAAGTACTCGAGGTCACTAGGAATTCAGGCCGCTTACTTAGGGGAAAGCAAAACGAAAGATCCAGAAATATTGAATGGATAGGGAGTGTTTTCTTTGTTGTACGGAAGCCTGGAATCATTAACCTGGGACAAGAAATTCAGGGCAATGTTCTCTAAGGAGTTTTACCAGAAGAATCCTGTTGCAGGTACATACAACTGTTCATTGGTAAGTATGCTGATTTGTTTACTAGTAAGGGTGCTACACTGAATTCATTGTGGGGAGTTCTGAAGGGGTAAAATGGGATGTTGTTGCTCTGGGAAAATAGGATTTAAGTCACTGGCAGGGGGATTCTATCACTGAGAATGGGAAAAAATGTAAAAAATGGGAATTGAGGATTAAACAGTGTCAATGGAATTGATATCCCCCCTTCAGGACCCTTATTATACTTAACAGTAGATCTGGCTTTTATTCAAGGATGCTCAGTAATCTTATGTCTAAAAGCTGACAGACACTTCACAAGTCTAGAATTATCATGTTTTTTGTCACCATTTATTGACAATTGAAAGCTGATGAAGTAAGCCTTGTGACTACTTAAGATAATAGTGCAATAATTGCACTATTATTCAATTATTGAATATTTACCTATTACAAATGGAAAAACATCCCATAATACAGAACTACAGATGCCATTACATTAATTTTATTTTTAAGCTGTTGAGATTTTTTTTTACTTTATCAGTGTCTTCTGATAATACTGCTTGAGTTATGTAAATACTAGGGAGCTGTAATATTTTGTTTTATTTTAATTTGTTAATAAACGTTTACACTGGGGTATTTGTTGGTGATTCTTTCTGTCCCAAAGGGTTTGTTTTACTAGGTGGCCAACAAGTATACTTAAGAATATTATTTGAAAACTGTCTAGAAAAATGGGGTGCTCATTGTATTCGGGTGTACATTATACAGAAGTAAATATGGTATACCTACACATAACATACAAAAGCTGTTTTCCAACACTCTCTGGAAAAAAAGGGAACTGTGCTGAAATTGTCACTTGCTGTTTTCGATAATTCTAAAAGTCTTTCTTCTTTTAGATTTTATTAGGTGTACAACCTACAGAAGAGAAAAAAATCCTTCCTTTTTTGATGACAGTAATGAAAACAGCAGAATCATTCCAAGCCACTAATTTTGCAACATCAGTGCCAAAGACTGTTAGTCTGCTTGAAGAAAATCAAGATGATCTGAGACAGGAATTTCAAGAATCAAATCTTCAGTGCTTGTATTCTAGAATTTGTATTCTCTGATTGTCTTCTACAGGAAACAATATTATTGATAATTGTAATAAATTATGTTCTGTGGAAAGTATTTTAGAGACACTGTGTGGAATGGTGACCATGCAATGAAGATTTTTACCTTTCTAAAGAGGGTGTTTAAAGATTTAAAAATAATTATCAATGAAGAATATTGTCAGATGAGGAGAATGATGATAGGAAGTTATGAAATATCAAACAAATGCACCTAAGGAAAATTGTTAATATTGCAGCATTATTCTTTCAAAATAAGTCCAATCTTGTACCATCAATTGCAAGGGAGTTAAAACAATGGCACTGTGGATGTGTTTGAGGGGGTCAGTAAGGGGTAACATCAGGCCAATCATAGATAAATAGTTTGGCAAAAGATCACATATCATGCGAAATTACTTTTATACATATATTTGTTAAAGGATATCTTGTAATAAAAATTCATTTCTACTATATTAGCCATAATGCTAATCACAGTGAAGATTAATCCAGGTTCTCTTATGCGGTTTAGTATGCCAGAGACCCAGTTCCTTGAAATCAAGAACTGAAGTTGGATCTTTGGAAAGTGTCCCTATTCCTTGGCCTCTTCTCCCTGGAATTTCCTTAAGAGCGTTCACTTCTTGTAAAGTTTTAGTGAGTACAAAAATGTCTCTATAGACATCCCACCCTTCCACGATTTCTCAACTCTATACCTACACGTGTCACACACTGCGCGTTTATCGCCCTCCAAAACACTCACACCAACCACTTTCAAACATTTTCGGAAACTCAACTTTATTTTTTTTTTCTTCGTTTATCCATAAAACAAACGCACACAGCCTGCAAAAATGGACCTCACTTAACAAGTCAGGATTCAGCACATAATCGGACCGAGATTTCGAACTAAACACAACGGCTGTAATTAAAATACGTACTGGTACGTAGGGTTCGTGCGCTGCAGCAAGCCAGCCATTCCCACGATCAATCGACGTAGTTGCGTGGCCCGTGCAACGGAAATTTTCACGCTGCAGAAAGTTTCAGAAGTCGTGCAACGAACATGGACATCTAAAATGTAAGCTTGGCGTTGTATACTAGACAATGAGTGCAAATTAAGGTGTGGAATAAAGTGGAAGTCATGCATCGCGTATCGTATCATCAAGAAAAATTTACGATACCTTGGAAAGATCCGCCCTAAAAATTCATCGGAGAGTGTTTGTTTCTTGTAGCCGTGCTAAAGGTTGTAATTTTTGCGGGTTGTTAACATTTTGTTCTGAAACTTTCCTCGAGAAACTTTCCCCGTTGAACGCGCTACGCAACTATGGCGATCGATGAGGAAAACTACGTCGTGTAAGAAAACACGAGAGTCACCCGGAAGCTTCTCTTCGCTGATTGGCCAGAAAAATTTTTTTCTGGCCAATCAGAAGCAGGCAATTCAAACGCTTCTGGAACTGGTTCGGTAAGAGTAAGTGCCCAGGGGCTCGTCTCGATCTTACAGTAAACTTTCACCACGAACATTTTATCGACCCGACTAACTGCCCCTGGGTCTCCGAGGATGAAAACATGCATAACACTCTGGGAAATTTTTTTTATGTTGTTAGTCACGTCTTTCTTACACCCAGTTTCCACGGTCTCCGCTAGGTACGCCTGGGACCATGATGTCCCTTTTGAAGCACATACACGGGAAAAAAGGGAACGCTTGCAATTTTTCTTTTTTCAGTCTCGCTTCTACAGCAAGTTCGACTAATAAAGCCTAGTTTATGCCCAGGGAAGGAGAGAAAGCGCAGATTTGTAATGAACGACCGGGATAATTCTGTTTTGCTGACTGTTTTGCAAATTTTCCGTGGACAAAAGGGTCACGTTTTGTATCATTTGAGAGATTCAGAGTCACGTTTACGGCAGAAGGCAAACTTGAATTTGTACCAGTTGACCAAGTTTTTCCTTTGCTTGTCGTTTACTGTTCTTTACTACTACAAAGCAGTTAGTTTTTTCACTAATTGTGTTGAGCTCTTTTTATACGCTTATTTTGTATCTTGAGAAATTGTCAACTTGAATCTGGCGTTTGCCGTAAACGTGATTCTAAATAGAACAATACGCGAGAGATAGTGAGTCCTGACAGACTTAGACTTTTTAAATCTTGTCCTGCCGTTGCTATTCGGGTAATCAGTGGCATAATAAATAAAACACAGACACAAAATTTTTTAAGGCATTTTCAGTTCATCATTTGTTTCATATATTTCTTTGATTTATAGCATCGACCGTGGTCGTTTCCCATAGTCATAGCCCACAGGAATTGCAGAATGGATACATGTTAACGAGGCTCGTCCTTGAAGGTGGAGCAATGGCTTTAAGAAGAGTTTTTGACAGCATTCATCCCCCGACAGTCTTGGCCAATCGTCTCAATGAGAATTATGTTATTCTTGGAAGCCTCTTTCGTCGAAGAATTCTAACCAAACATCAATGGGAGTTACTTTTTCCACTTACAGGAAATCCGAGCTCCAACAGTTTTGACATCACACTCCTATTTTGCCTTTTGAGAAGTATTTCTGGTCTTCGCCCTCCCATGAAAGGATGGAGCGAAATGCCATCACCTCTTGAACACTCTCTCGAGGCAGACATTGTTCGCATTAAAATTTTCCGAAACCAGTTTCTCCACGGTGATTTGATCTCTGGTGTTGATACGCCAACTTTCTCTACCTTGTCCAGTGAACTTTGTGAAATTTATAGGAGATGCGATTTGCCTGAGGATGAAATAAAAAGACTGAGAACAAACCCCTTTGCAGAAACCAAAGAACCCAAAAGGACAAAGAACCAGGAAATGCAGACAGAGGGACCTCCTGCAATTACTGATCATGCGTTTGGCGATACATGCGGAGAATTGGCCTCTATGTCCACCCATTTCTTGGTAAAGGAAGGTAAATGTGACAAATAGCTTTATGTTTCGAATGGGTTGATTTTAAACTGTACTTTAAAATATTACTCTTTATTTATTTATTCATTTCATTACTCATCTATTTACAGCCCTTGTTCAATATACACTTAATGTCAGATCCCGAGGGAAAGCAAAACTAACTGGTTTCCCAAGGGACTTGACCTAAGTGTTTTGTTATATTTCTAGACTTTGACCAAGAATCAGCCAATGGCTGTCCCTGTTTAGTTGAGTGAAAGTCTAGGAATATAACAATATTGAATGTCCAAAATTTCGCTAAATGAGTGCTACTACGATCTAAATTTAATGTCAAGTTTGTCACAAAAACGCTTTCTTTTCAGCTTATCAGAAGTGGCTGTACCTTTTTCGGTCATTGAAATGAACTTTGGCGCCCTCTAAGTGAAAATATTGAGCTTGAAAATGAAGGTTTTTCGCGTCCGCCATTGCAAATTTATGTTCCAGTGACAAAGCTATTGTTCTCTGATTGTGACGTCATTTTCTGAACACGCCAAGAGAACAAACCTGAACAGTGAGAAAACAGCGAGCGATTTTCAAAGCTTCGCTCGTCTTTGCCCGATTCTGGAATTTTGAAGGAGGAAATCGTAGGTTACGATGACTCTGTAGAACCAGCACCGACTGAATATGAGAACGTCAAATACTAAGGGCAGCTAGCCTCAGAGAAGGAAAAAAAACACACTTCACCAAGGCGTATTTTATGCAGTTTGTGCCGACGGAGATTCGGACTACTGGTAGGTATATTTGTATACGTACTAGCTATAATAATAATACACAGGTAAGACGATCGAGAGTCCGCACCAATTTCACCTGCCTTCTAGCCACTCTCGAGTGCTCATTTATCCAAGTGTAGATAAAGTTTTGCTTTATAGCTCTTCAGGCACAGCGAATCAGAGTGGGTACAGTTTTCAGTTTAGCTAAGTTTCAGTTCCAAGAAGCCAGCTCGTTGTCATATGCATGTGTTTTTTTTTTTTACCATCTTAACTGAACGGACTGCTGTCCTTTATTATTGAAAATTTAATTGTTACTTTAGTGTTGCGTATCTGAGCTGAGGATTTTAAAATTAGATCTAATGTTTAGTTCTCTTTGTCAGAAAGGTTAATTTACTCATTTTCAATATAAATAGATAAATAAGGGGATCGCTCGCTCTTGATTTGGTATATCAATTTAATAATTTTCAGTGCTGACATTAAAGAC